CCACCCATCCATCCAGTGACATCCACATGCTCTGCAAGCCCAGCCCCGCGGCCTGCTTCCGAGAACAGAGCAGAGCATGGCTCGGCACGGGCCCCCAGCCGATCTCCCCACTCTGGATTCCGGGCGATGCCTTCTCTCTTCCTCCAGGATGCCACCCCACGCACACTCACAGGGTCCCCACGCCGCTGCCCCCACACTTGGTTCCAGTTCCCCCCACCGGCCTCTGACCCAGAGCTCGGGGACACAAGAAGGGACCTTGTGCTCCCTCCCACCCATCCATGGCAGGGGGACACCACGCAGATGCAGAAGTCTGCTTTCCCATCTGACTTTATTTCACTTTTTTTCTATAAAACTCCTCCATAATTTCACAATTTAACAAAAAGTTTAAAATCCAGGACAGAAACAATCCTGTAACTCATTACAAACACAAAACTTTTTCCTTTGATCCAGGAGTTGGTCTTGGGCCAGTGAAGTGTCCAGTCCCTATCGAGACACATTCTTGGTTAAAAACCTTTGTGGGGAAGGAAGGTATTCAATACCTTTTGTGTTCTGGAGTCGGTCTACAATTCATTCAGGAAAGAGGAAACATGGGGGTTTGCACTAGGGGCAGGCGGCTTAACACGAGACGTGGCAATCACAAGGCGCCGGGCCCCTTCCTATGGAAGTGTCCCCAGAGCCCCCGTGGGCCCAAGTGCCCGCGCTGTGGCGGGGAGGGAGCAGCTGGGGAGGCTGCAGCCAGGACCCCGGGGCCCGGAACATCTGTCCTTGGCTGGTAACGGAGCCGGCCCTGCACCCAGAGCAGCTCTGGAGGACATCGGTGAGGCCTTCCGGCCTGAGGAGGTAACTGAGAAGTGGGTCGGCGCTCCTGGAGGTCCTGAAACCACACCAAGGGCCAGACGCCACTGTCCAGGCGCCCAGCCCAGGTCACTGCGGGGCTCCCGCGACCCTCGGGCAGGAGGAAGGCTGTTGCGCGGAGCTGAGGCTTCTCCATGTGGCCCACGGCTGCCTGCGGGGCCAAGTCCTTCTCTCCCGTGTCTTGGAGAGCTCCCCAAAGGGAGGTGGCGAGGACCCACTGTGAGTATTGCTGGCCTGCCTGGGAAGCGGGTATGGCGGCGGGGCCTGAGGGCAGTAGGAGCGGGAGCCAGAGTCTCCCTGCGGAGCTGCTGGGCCTCTCCCCAAGAACCTGGGGAGCCCCCAGCAATGCTGGTGTGGGGGACGCCTTGGAGGCAGGGTTCCCCCGGGAGTGTTCCGGTAGACTCCAAGCAAGGACAGGACCACAAACCCCAGGGGAGAAAAGCCAGGGCTTCCCACAACTGAGTTCGTAATGGGGAAGAGTGGACACCTAACGACAGAATAGGGGACAGGGGGCCACCCCAGGCCCCGTTCCCCCGGCCACACCCAGGTCAGGGTACCAACACTGCAGTGACTCTAAAGTCA